CAGCATCGCCCTGCTGCATGGCACCCTGCTGCACGGCACCCTGCTGCACGGCACCCACCCCGCTGCATGGCCCCTCGCAGGATCCCACCATCCCGCGTGTCACGCTCGCCCTCTCCAGGCCACGCTGCTGTGTGTCACCCCCTCCAGGCCACCACCCCTCCACCCCACTGCGTCCTGTTCGCCCTCCTAGGACAGACTCCACGCACGGTGCACCCCACGCACCCGGTCCCCGGCCACCCTTCCCCACACGAGGGCAGGAGCCAGCCTCACAGGGAGCCCCACAAGCACCCGCTGCCCCCAGGCTGGGCACAGCCCCCCAAGCCCTGCCATCCCCGCAAGGGCAGCGGTGCAGGACACAGGGACACGCTGTCCCCTGCCACCGGCCAGGCAGTGGCTGTCACTCCCCAGGCTCCTCTTCCTCCCGGGCAGCCCCGGCCACGGGGACCGTGCCAGGCTGTGGCCGGAGGAGCCTGGGGAGGGGACACGACGCATTTAGCCCTGTTTACAGTGGAAACAGGAGCTCGAAGGCCACCGGGCAGGCGACAAGCCAAGAGCATGAGCCGGCAGCATGGGAGGGCAGTGCAGGCAGGGCTGCAGGGGAACCCTGGGCTGCCGCCCCACAGAGGGTCCCAGGGTGCGAGGACAAGGCAGGCAGCACACAGCCTTACCCAGTATCTCGAAAGGGTCTTCCTTCCCAAAATCGGGGGTGAGGTAGGGGCTGGGGGGTGGCTCTGCCTCCGTCGAGGAGGGTTGCCCCCCAGGGCCAGGCTGCTCTGTGGCCCCAGTAGGATCCGTGGGCTGCCCTGTGGCACTGGGCAATGTCCTCTCCCGTGGGGTGCCAGGGCTCCCTGTGGGGATGGGGGGCTCCGGGGGCTGCAGGTCCCCCAGGGCTCGCGGGGCAGGGCGAGGCTCTGCCGGACCCTCTCTCAGCTCTGCCACCATGACCTCCTCCGGTATCATCTCCATCACCGCTGCCTCCACCCAGGGCTGCTCCTCCCTGGAAGCAGGAGCAGGAGATGAGCAGAGCCCAGCCAGCAGCCCCCACCCCCCGAGACCGGCGCCCACCTCTGCCCAGAGGGACCCCGGGCTCCTCGGGGAGCAGCGAGGGGAGGGGACCCCATCCCAGGAGGGTGCGGGTACCTTTGGCAGGCGGCTGGGCAGCTCAGGCTCTGCAGCAGAGCCGGACGCCGGAGCTTGGGGCCCCTTGGCTGCTGCTGCTTGTCCGCCTCCTTCGCCGTTGCTGCTTTCTCCCCTTCACCCTGAGCCTTCGCAGCAGGCGCGGCCACCACCTCTGCGGGCTCCTTGCCTCCATGCCCAGCCTCTGCTGCAGCTGGGGGGGGTTCCACCTTTGCAGCTTTCTTCCCTCCATCCTGCATCTTTGCAGCAGTCGGGGCTTTCTCCTTTGCAGGCTCTTTGCTTCCATCTTGAGGCTTCTTTGCAGCTGGCGTTTTCTCAGCATTTGCAGCTTTCTTCCCTCCATCCTGCACCTTTGCAGCAGTTGGGGCCTTCTCCTTTGCAGGCTCTTCTTTGCTTCCACCTTGAGGCTTCTTTGCAACTGGCGTTTTCTCAGCCTTTGCTGCTGCCTTCTCTCCATCCTGAGCCTTCGCAGCAGCTGGGGCCTTCTCCTTTGCAGAAGCTGCGGCTTTCTCCTTTACAGGCTCCTCTTTGCCTCCATCTTGAGCCTTTTTTGCAGCTGGAGCTTTTTCTGCCTTTGCCACTTTATTCTCTCCATCCTGAGCCTTTACAGCAGCTGGAGCCTTCTCCTTTACAGGCTTTTTATCAGCTAGGGTTTTCTCTGCCTTTGCAGCTTTCTTCCCTCCATCCTGAGCTTTTGCAGCAGCCGGGACCTTCTCCTTTGCAGCAGTCGTAGTTTTCTCCTTTGCAGGCTCTTCTTTGCCTCCACCCCGAGCCTGTGCTGCAGCCAAGGCTGTCTCCTCTGCAGGTTTTGCCTTCCCTCCTTCAGACTCTGCTGCAGCCGGAGCCTTCTCCTCCGTGGGCTCTGCTTTCCCACCACACTCAGCCTCTAACCCACCAGAGGCTTGCCCCTTCTTGGGCTTGTCCTTCCCTCCGTCCTGGGCCTCTACTACAGCCGGGCCCTTCCCTTCCTTGCGTGCTGCCTGCCCTCCTTCAGGCTCTCCTGCAGCTGGAGCCTTCTCCTTCCCAGGCTCATCTTTCCCTCCATCCTGAGCCTTGGCAGCAGCCAGCACCTTCTCCTCTGAAGATGCTGCCTGCCCTCCATTGTGCTGCGCAGCTGAAGCCTCCTCTGCCGGCGCTGCCTTCCTTCCATCCCCGGGCTCTGGAGCGGTCGGGGCCGTCGCCCCCGCTGGCTCTGCCTTCGCTCCTCTGGCCTCTCCCGCAGCCTTCTCCTTCCCAGGCTCTGCCTGTCCCCCATCCTGAGCCGCAGCGGCAGCCAGAGCCTTCTCCTGCCCAGGCTCATCCTTCCCTTCATCCTGCGCCCCGGTGGCAGCCGGCACCGTCCCCTCCGTGGGTGCTGCCTTCCTCCCTTGGGGCCGGGCAGCCTGCAGAGCTTCTGGGACCGGCTGGGTTGTGCTGCCATCTGCTTTGGGGGTGGCTGTGCCACCAGCCCCCCCAGCGCCGGGCGTGCTGCCCGCCCTACTGCCCTGCTCCATGAGGACTCTCCAGGCAGGAGGCGTCTGCCCTGCGGTGCTCCTGGTTCGACGAGGCTCCTGGGGGAGAGAAGACAGAAGCTGAGGGGTCCCCAGACCCGATGCCCCGCAGAGGGGCACAGTGGGACGCAGGCAGCAGCTCTGCTCCTGCAGAAGAGGGGTGAGCTGCTGCCACCCAGACGGGAGCCATGCCCCTGCAGCCCGGCCGGTGGCACCGAGCCGGGGGCCCCACGTGGCCGCCGGTCCCTGCACCATCCCATTGTGCCCCGGTATCTACTCGGCAGTGACCGATCGATTGCGTGACGCTGGCACCTGTCGCTGCCCTGGGGCCTCCCGCGTGCAAACACGCCCACCCCAGGGACACAATTAAAAACCCCCCCCCCCCCCCCCCCCCACGGTGGGACAGGAGACGGCGGCTCCGGCCCCAGGCTGGTGGGGTGGGGATCAGGCGAGGTGAGCATCCCCTGGCACGGCCCCACCACTGCCCACCCCAAACCGCACAGGCAGGTCCAGCCACGCAGGCAGAGCCCTGTCTTCTGCTCGGGGGCCCCGCGGACCCCCGGCCCCAGCAGCCACCAGCACTGCCCGTCCCCCTGCCTGGTGGTGACCACAGCTCCTGCGTGAGCGGTCCCCACCAAGGGGACCTGTTGGTGCCTGCATACCTGCGCGGGCTGCCAGCACGAGCTGCCACTCCTTCCCCTCCAGCCCAGCACCCGATCCCCAAATACCTGCTCTGGGCTCCACTGCCCGTCCCCCTCCCCTCACCCTGTCCCAAAACACCCCCCTGCACAGCCTGCACAACTGTCCAGAGGCTGGGACAGCCCAGCCCCAGAATAAACCCACCAGCAACCATCCCAGTAAGAGGGGAGTCGCTTGCTGGTCTTACTGGAACAGGAGCTGTGGCAGAGCAGTCTCCGGCCGAGCGGTCCCACAGCTCAGCACGGGGAGCCCGCGGGGACGGAGGCGTTCCTCCCAGGGCTGGGGGCTCTGGTCTCCCCAGTACACCCCACCGCCATGCCCCGAGCAGGCAGCCATGGGGACACCCCCCCCCCAGCCCCTTTACCTGCCTCCGGGTGCAGAGGGCAGTCAGGAGGGCAGCATCTGCACTGTGGCAGCGCCTGGAGGGAGCAGCCTCTTCTATGCCTGGTGTAACGGAGCCGGATTAGTGCGGGCAGAGGAGGATCCTTTACAGCAGCAGGAGCCATCCCGCTTCGCCTTTCCCAGCACCTGTCACTGCTGGAGCCCGTTCAAAGGACACGCCACTCTTCCCTGTCCCCTGCGGGCCCCGCCTCCTGCCCCAGCACGGCACCGCAGGGAGGGCTGGCACCGGCCACAGCAGCACCTCATAAACATCCCACGGGGGTGGCCTGGCCGAGCCGGACATGGTCCAAGTGGCCAAGCGCTTCCAAGGCGCCCACAGGTGACACAAGGCAGCTACTGGCCACCCCATGGGGACGGTGGCAGGACCACCCATTGCCGGTGCCACCCCCCCCCTCCCCCGTGCCGCTGAGCTGTGGCCAGCTCTGCCCACTGGTGCCAGCCCTTGGGGAGCGCAGCTCCGAAGGACCCTGCACTCTGTGAGCGCGATGTGGCACCTGAGGGCACCGCCGCCGGTCCCTGAAGCAGAAGGGACAGCAGCTGGGAACCGGGCACTGGCCAGGGGCTGCAGCCTCCTTTGGGAACCAGTTGAAAAACTCATTTCCTGCAAAATGAAGTGTTTTGGGGATCAGGGAAAGAAAACAAAGGAGCTGGGGGCTCCCGGAGGGGTCAGGCTGTGCATGGGTGCTGCACGGGCGTCGCCACCCCCTGCTGAAGGTGCAGCGCATGCTGCCGGGGTGCTGCACCCCAGGACACAGCCTCAGGGACTGTGCAGGGCTGAACCCGGGCATGGAAAACCCCTGGGGAGAAGGGGACCGTGGGCTGCACCGTGCCAGGGGCTGCAGAAGCCACAGGCAGAGCTGGGCAAGGGCACGGCCCGGCCATGCAGGGTCCTGGAGCCAATGGATTCCCAAGGGCTACGCCAGGTTTCCGCCTGGTCCCCCCACCCAGCAGAGCCCCGTTTACATTAAATCTTTGAACCTTAAGGTGAGGAAAGCCTTGCTCACCAAGGGAGCACAGACAGCTGCCCGCTGCTCAGGTTTCTGCTGGGTGCGGAGGCAGGCGGGGGGGGGGTTGCAGGAGGAACCCCTGGTAACTGGACCCAGCCCTCCCCAGCCAACACTGCCAGGCAAAAGCACTCCAATAATACCAACTATCAAAAACCCAGGACATCCATTTATCATGTCAGGGCAGCAGGAACACCAGCACAGGGTGGAGGAGGAAGGGCTTGGCCCCTCACCCGCAGCTGGTGCTCCTTTTTTTTTGGGGGGGGGAGGATAGGGTACAGGGGAGGTCCAAGCTCAGTGACAGGCGATAAAGCACTGAGAGCAACTCCCAGCAAGAGAAAAAGAGATGGCAGAGGCTGCTGGGGGTCAGGCAGCTGCCCCACACCAGGCATCCTCCTGGACCTGCTCCCCATCACTCCTCGCTACCCCAGCCGGGCACGGGCACCCTGCTCCTCTGTGGGGCTCTGCCAGCAGCTGGGCAGGACAAGGCAGCAAAGGGCCAAGCGCTGGTACTTGCTGGGGGAGCAGGGCTCTCCCCAAGGCCGGGCACCCCCAGGGAGGCTGAGATTACCACAGGCTCCCCCAGCCTCAGTCCCTGCCAGCTGATGGCCAGGTCTCTCCTCCCAAGCTCTCCGTCCTGCGGCCACGTGGAGCTCAAGTCCTGCCAGACACCAAGCCCGGCTTCTCCCACATGGGTCTCACGCACAGCTCAGCTGAGCCGAGGCCACCAACACAGGCAGCAGCAGCAGCATCCCAGGAGCAGCAGTCACCTTGCCCGCAGCACCTCCCAGGAGGATGCAACGCTGCCAGGCAGGGGAAGGGACGGTGCTGCTCCACCTTGTCAAATCCCAGCTCCCAGCGAGTCACCAGCTTCTGTGTACCATGGGCTGAGGTCAGGCTTTGCCAGAGGAGCTGTGGCTCACACGTAGCATCGAGAGCGAGACACGCCAGGATGAGGACACGGCCATCCCCTCCGTCGCAGAGGTGCTGCTGTCCTGCCTGCCCC